ACAGAAGCTCATAAGTTGATTTTTTATTGCCCGTCACACTTCATGTGGGCCACCCTGTAGAGATAACCACTTGAAAGCCTAGCCAAAGTAGGGGCCTAGGTGAGGCTGTTGTCCCCATTACGTTTACGAATTAGGTCCACTACCCAAATAATCCAATCCTATTGCTGATAGCCTGGACAGAGACATTGATTGACTATGAGCCCTTTTAATGAGGGAGACTGGCTGAGATGAAAATATTAAAGCTCTCCAAGAGAACGGTTGGAATGCTCGACCAAACCAAGAGGCTGAGCTAGTGTCATCCCTCCTCCTCACAACGTTGTTGTTCTGAACTTGTTCTTTCTTGGGCGCGAACTAACACTTTTGAAGCGAACCCCTTTCTTTTGTGAAAAAAGCAAACTTTAAAAGTAGGGTTCACGACAGAATGGTCTTCTAAATTTTTCCTTAGGATTACCCAGTGGCCCCCAGAGTAACAGCAGAAAAGACGCTGTCGTGCTCAAAAACTTAACAGCTAAGGCTAATAGGAAAACCCCATTACCGATTTGGTCGGATGCCACGCCCACCAAACGATTTTATGTCGGACGGGTTGGAGGCGATAAAGATTGTGCTATTCGCACCACGACCCACACGCACATGAAGCAGTCAGCCTATCGCCGGGTGGTGGTCACTCTTATTCTGTTGTTCTCTGCTATTCTTATTGCTGCTTTGCTGTTTGCAGTCCTTCATCTTGTTTTTTACCTCAAGAGGATGAAAAAATGGGTTATTGCTGTTAATAGTGTGTTTTTAAAGTTGTGCTTATGAGTTAGTGCATTTCTAAGGACGTTTTTGCTTACTAAGTCAGCCATTCACACCAGGACCCACACGTACACACCCACATTGTATAACTCGTCCAAGTGCCTCCTCTACTTCATCGTGCTTTCTTCGCCTCCATCGCTCTATCCTACAGCCTCCATCGCACTATCCTACACCTTCCCTCTCATTTTTCGTCATTAACTGAATAGCCCAAAATTATCGTGAACTGTGCCTTTAAAGAGACATACTGAATATTTGTTTTCGCTATTATAGCAAATTTATAACTTATCTTCGTCTAAAAATGTCCTAGAGCTTAAAGTCA